AGCTTGCAAGGGCCGCACATGCCCCCTCCCCCAGCTCTGTTTTCACTGGCAGAGGGTTGCAGGAGGCTGTCACAGCTGAAAATGGAGCTCAGGAGCCCGTTTTCGCTGGCAAAGCACTCGGGCTGCCACAGGCGCCCCCAAGATGAGTGACGTTGAGCTGACCACGCTCACCCTGGCCACGCCCCCCCCCTGTCAAATGCAACCCTGATGCAGCCCTCAATGAAATCGAGTTTGACACTCCTGCTCTAACATGTTCTCCTGTACTTTTTTTGTAGATTCAACCCTGATACATACAGATAGTCCTTGATTTATATCTGTAATTAAGACCAGAATGCAGAAGTGAATGCAATAGTCAATAGGCAAATGTCACAGTTGTTAGGCAAATCCGTTTTACCCAATGGCCATTTTTGGCCATAAATTGGAAGCAAATGCCAGAAATAGAAGTCAAATTCGCAGTCACATGACTATGGGACACTGCAAATTGCCCTAAAGGCGAGCCAGTTGCCAAGGGCCCAAAATCTGATCATGTGACTGGGTTGGATACGCAGCCATTGGAACTTTGAAATCAGGCCATAAATTCCCTTTGGGGTGGCCGTTGTAACCTCAGATCGGTTGCTCAATGATTGGTCCTAAATTGAGGACTATCAGTACACAGTGATGGAAACATTTCAGAAATCTAACATTTCAGCCGGAGGAGAGATTATTTTGCTAAGGTGCTCTCTTTACTATACAAATTTAGCCATTGTGCTCCAAAAACCATTGTTCAGGCAGTGCCTTCTTCCTGAGGCCAACTCAACGTTCAGAAAAGGTATTCGGGTTTTTGAAAACTCCTGACTTTCTCATTAGGCCAGATGTTAAAAAGCCAAGTTGTGGGTTTGACTAGATGCTGAAGACTGAAGCCTGCAGTATTATTCCCACAGCATATCCCCGTCTTTTTTCACTTGCTGTAATTCTTAAAAATTCATTGCAAGTTCTACATTTAACACAGACATTTCATCAGAGAGCTGATTATTCCGCAGTGATTACCTAACTGCAGAAGTCAACAGAAGGACTCTGCAGAATGAGTTACGCCAGTGTAGCAAGAGGGTCCTTGACTGCCTTCCAGAAGTTATTTTTTTAAGTGTCTGTATTCATAAAGAACTCCACTCTAATCCATCACTCCTTTATATAAATACAGAAGTAACAAAATTCTCCGGCACTGCCAACGGCAGAGCGATGAAATTGCAGGACCTGGAAGACGCCAGGAGCTAAATGCCAAGCAGCGCGCAGCTGGTGTCTCAACCTGTTGCAAGAAATTCAGCCAGGATTTTAGCTTGTTCTCCGAACCCAGCCATCCACTTATGCCGTAAAACGGGTTATATAAGCTGAAAGGGCACCGAAGGCCTGGAACACAAAAATGGTGGGAACGAAAACAACAGGCACACTTCCCACCAGGGTAAGCCTTCAGCACAACCACCTCCACTGCACGACGGTCTGGGTCTACAAACCTGGGTCTACAAGGTGGAATGGAAAAATGTCCTGTCCAGTGGTGGGTTCCAACTGGTGTTACCACCGGTTCTCTTCGCGCATGCGCTTTGCGCACGATTGCCGCATGCATGCTCGCTTCAATCGCACGTGTGCAGAACTTGCATTCTGCGCAAGCGCATTAAATTTCTGCGCAGCGGGAAGGCCCAGCTCACAGTCATAGAGAACCATTCACTGATGTCACATCATCATCACTACCGGCTCGCCCGAAGCGGGCCGAACTGGGAGCAACCCACCTCTGGTCCTGTCCTTGGAAAGTCTTCCACAAAAACCAGAGTCTCCCCATGTCTGTTCACACAGCGGCCCTTTTGGCCCAAGCAAATCCACGGGGACTTGCCACCTGCGGAGGGCATTTCCACCACTGAGCAAAAACGACAGCATCCCTTTTATACAACGTTCCAGAAAGGTCTTGAGGGCTGTGAAAGGGATCAGCCGGGCGGGGACCTCTGAGCAGGCAGGCAGAAGGACCTCGTGAAAGAGAAAAGAGCTTTCTTGAGAAGAGTTTGCACAAGACCCAGAGAGCAGCCTGAGGTGAGAGTTGAGAAGAAGGACCCGGAGGCTACAAGTTCAGTTCCTTCTCCACCTTCAAACTCACCGCGAGGGATGTGGGGCCGGTCACTTCCCTGCCTTGTTGAGAGAGAATAAATCAGGAGGAGGCAGAGCTGGGAACGTTGCCTGGAGCTCCAGAAGGAGAGGAGGAGAGAACTAATAGGAGTATGAAGAAATTAGGTTTCCTAACCCAAGCTGTGGCTCAGAGGCATGCCAGTTCTCCCCCAGTCCCTTCTGGAGAATTCAAACCCAGATGAGCTTCTGCAGAAAAGCAGCCCCTCCCCAAACAAATAAACTGGCACTGCAAGAGAACAATGAGCGGGGTGGGTGGGTGGGTGGGGGCAGACGGATTGTCCCTCAGCCATAAATGCCCCCAATTTTGAATCCGGCCTCTCTGCAAAAGGCAGTTTCTACCCAGCGAGACTCTCAACCCTGAGAAGCATGCAACCCTGCCCTGACACTTGGAAGCCGTCTTTCAAAAAAGAAACATTTTCGGCACTGCCCGACCCTCCTCGCCTCCCATCTCCCCGGCTGGCCCGGACAACAGATGCCTCTTTGTGTGAGCCAGCCGTCCCCTCCTAAATCACTCTGACAGCCAAGATTCACATTTACAGAGCGTTGGGAAAGCAAAAGGCAGGGACGAAAACAAACAAGCCTCCTGAGAACTTTCCCCTTGCGCTAAAGAGAGGCCACACGGCTGCTTTGCAGAGAAAGAAAGAAAAAAGAAAGAAGGGAGGGAGGGAGGGAGGGAGGAAGGAAGGAAGAAAGAAAGAAAGAGAAGGAAGGAAGGGAGGGAGGGAGGGAGGGAGGGAGGGAGGGAGGGAGGAAGGAAGGAAGAAAGAAAGAAAGAGAAGGAAGGAAGGAAGGAAGGAAGGAAGGAAGGAAGGGAGGGAGGGAGGGAGGGAAGGAAGGAAGGAAGGAAGGAAGGAAGAGAAGGAAGGAAGGAAGGAAGGAAGGAAGGAAGGAAGGAAGGAAAGAAGGAAGGAAGGAAAGAAAGAAAGAAAGTAAGTAAGTAAGAAGGAAGGAAGGAAGCAAGCAAGCAAGTCCAGGCTCCCTCCAGGAACAAACTTTTATGAAACTTAAACTCCAGACTCAAACAGTTTCTGGAAAAACCAATCAATGTTTGTGGTTTTTTTTTACTCACGCACGTGAACTGGAGCAATCACGCCCGGCTATAAGAACTCAGAATGAAGGGCCAAAATAAATGATGAGGAAACAACTTGGCCGGCCGAACAATCCCCACCCTGTCCAACTTAGGCCAACTGCATTCTCCCTTCAAGCTCCAGGAGTTCGAAATGGATCGTCTCCCATGTAAGGCACAAGCGGGGATTCTGTGAGGCCTTTGCACAGCCCATGGCAGGAAAGGAAAAGACCTCTGCGAATATTATCCCAGCAAGAAAGGGCAATTTGGGGGAGCTCCCTGTGCAGAGACCTTCTAGCAATGGAGGCCGAAGAGACTCAGCCGAAGGCTCTTCCAGTGGCTAGAGTCTAGACGAGGGGGGGTCAAACTCAAGGCCCAGGAGCCGGAGCTGGGCCGTGGGGTGCTTAGATCTGGCCCGCGGGGCTGCCCTGGAAATAGCAAAGAACTGGCCCGTGGGGCCTCTGCCAGTGAAAACCCCGCGGCCCTCCTGAACTCTGTTTTTGCTGGCAGAGGATTGCAGGAAGCGGTAGCAGCCGAAAACGGAGCTTGGGAGCCCGTTTTCTCTGGCAGAGCCCTCTGGCCGCCACAGGCGCCCCCAACACTAGTGATGTCAAGCTGGCCACGCCCCCCCCAGACCCCCAAGGTCAAACACAACCCTGATGCGGCCCTCAATGAAATTGAGTTTTGACACTCCTGGTCTAGACAGACAGCAAGTCCATCAGAGCCTCTGCCCCACTTCGGCCTGTCTCCAAGGCAGCTCACCCAGACGCCTCCGGGCAGTTTGCAGACAGGGCCGGAAGCCAGCAAAGACTGCTCATCCCCTCCACTCGGGCAGACCCCCAGCTGATCCCCCAGGAAACTGAACCCTGGTGGATCCTCTGCCCTAGTTCCCAGCAAGGTATATGCCCTATCAAATCCTGGTCTGTCTGGCCAGGCAGGTCCTGGTCACTTCTGAACAAGCTGCTCCAGCATCAAATCAGGGTTAAAACTTTCCGGGAGGAGAGGAGCTGGCTGCCAGGAAGGGCCCTGCTGGGAAGTAGGTTTCTAGGGGTTCAGCAAAAAAAAAAAAAAAAAAAAAAGCTAGGTGCCATTCGTGCCATGTTGCCAAGCGTCACTGCTATCATCTGCTGGTCTCTTTATTTCATATGGGCCAGTGTTTCTCAACCTTGGTAGCTGCTGGCTGGCTGGGGGATTCTGGGAGTCGAAGCCCACCCATCTTCAAGCTTCCAAGGTTGAGAAACTCTGATACAGGCGAATAACTGCAATTGCTGCACTCTTCTGCTTGGGCATAAACCCAGTCTCCTAATCAATGCCAGCCTTGGAAGAAATGTAGAGAAAACCAAACCAAAAAGGGGAATATAAGTGAATTCGATGGAACATTTTCGCAGCTCATTTAAAGGTGTTTTGTGTTTTTTTTTAACCCCCTCGGTTTTCTTGACCCCTACTTTGAGCGCTCTTGCGAAGCGGGCGAAGGCAGAGCTGCCGGCGGGGCGCCTCTCCATCCTCCGCGGGACTTTCGCAGCCTCCTCCTCCTCGTCGCCTCCGCCCCAACGGGAGACCCACACAGGCGCGCACCCCTTCTGCCCAGCGCGGCCGGCCTCTGCGCCTACAGGCTCCCGGGGGCAGCGGGCGGAGGTGCTCGCAGGCGCTCTCCTCCTCCGGAGCCCCGGCCGGTCCCCGCAAGCCAGCAGCCTCCCGCCGCCTCCTCCTCCTCCTGGCGGGGGCCCCGGAGGGACGGCCCGCGGACAAAGCCTGCCTGCCCCCCAGCCACCCGCGGCGGCCCTACCTGGGGATGGTGATGCACTTGGTGGCGGCGCTCTGCGTGGTGATGGCCTTCTCCAGCTCGTCCAGCTGCCCGGTCTTCTTCAGCTTCTTGACCAGGCTCTTGACCGCCTTCTCGCACCACTTCTCCTCCTGCCCGTTCTGCTCGCCCTTCTTCCAGCCCAGCAGCCGCTTCACGATGGGCGGCGTGAAGGGCAGGATGGACGACATGGCCGGCGCCCGGAGGAGGAGGAGGAGGAGGCCGGCCCAGGGCAGCCCGTCCGCCTTGCCCGCTCTCCGGCCTCGCTCTCGCCCGCTCTCCGGCCGCCCCGCCTCTCTGCCCGGCCAAGCAACGGCCGCGGGCTCGGCCCGGGACAAAGCGGAGGACGCGGCCGCCGCTGCCGCCAACTTTCCGCCGACTTCGCCCAACGCGCCTCCAGCGGCAGCGGCTCCGGCCCCGGCTCCTCCTCCGGCTGGGCGCGCTCCTCGCCTCCTGCGCAAAGGCGCGCTCCGGCGCCCGTCTGAGCCGCATGCAAATCGGGGGGCCGCCCCCTCCGAAGGGGCGGGGGCAGAGGGAGGCCACCTGCCCCTCAGCCCCCCCTCCCCTCCCCGCGCGCCCCCCCCCCCCCGCCCCGCCTGGCGGCAGGAAGGGAGGGAGGCGTCCGGCCCCAAGACGCCTTTCCCTCGCTCGGCCGCCCGGCTGGCCGGTCTCGGAGCCCCGCACGGCGCCCTCGGGGTCGCTCTCGGACCCCTTGTGGCTCCGAAGCAGGAAGGGCGAGGGGGACCTCGGAGTCTGAAACGCGGGCCAGCCCTGTGCTGAGGCAGCCCCAACAGCCGAGGCAATCCTCGCTTGCATAAACGGAGGCATAGGATCAAAATCCCGCCAAGTCTTTGGTACTAAAGCCGCAGTAAGGCCACGCCTGCCTCCAGGTCTGGTCCCCACGTTACAAAAAGTGGATGTGACTTTGGAGAAAGTGCAAAGAAGAGCAGCTGAGATGATTAAAAGCCTGGAGACTAAAACGTAGGAAGATGCAGGATTTGGGTTTGGCCAGTCGAGAGAAAAGGAGGCCTGGGGGAGGGGAGGGTGCATGAGAGCAGCTTTCCAGTATTTGAGGGGCTGCCAGAAAGAGGAGGGGGTCAAATTCATTTTCCACAGCACCAGAAGGCAGGACAAGAAACAAGGGATGGAAACTAATCGAGGAGAGAAGCAACCTGGAATTAAGGAGAAACTTCCTAACAATGAGGACAATTAACCAGTGGAACTGCTTGCCTCCAGAAATTGTGGGAGCTCCATCACTGGAGGCTTTGAAGAAGAGACTGGACAGTCACTTGTCTGAAATGGTATAGGACTGTGATGGCAAACCTATGGCACGCGTGCCACAGGTGGCATGCAGAGCCATATTGATGGGCACGCGAGCATTGCCCTAGCTCAGCTCCAGCGTGCATGTGCATGCTGGCCAGCTGATTTTTGGGCCTTCCGGGCCCACTGGAAGTCAGGAAACAGGCTGTTTCTGGCCTCCAGAGGTCCTCCTTCGCTCTCCCCAGGCTCCAGAGGCTTTCTAGGTGGGACCAGAAGTCAGCAAACGAGCCGTTTCTGGCCACGGGGGGTGGGTGGGGAAGGCTGTTTTCGCCCTCTCCAGGCTCCTAGAAAGAGAGCAAAAAACGGGCCTTCCGGTTCCACCAGAAGTCAGCAAACAGGCTGTTTCCAGCCTCCAGAGGGCCTCTGGTTGGGGGAGTGGCCGTTTTCATCCGAGCAAAAAATGGGAGAGCGAAAAACGGGCCTTCGGGTCCCTCCGTGCCTTTGCGTGCCAAAAGGGGGGGGGGGGGGGGAGGTGCATGCACATGCGCGGGGGGCAGGGCGCATTGAATTATGGGTGTGGCATGCACATACGTAACCCCCCACACTCCCCCCGCTTTTGGCACGCAACAGCAAAAAGGTTAGCCATCACTGGTATAGGATCTCCTGCTTCAGTAGGGGGCTGGACTAGAAGACCTCCAAGGTCCCTTCCAACTCTATTTTGATTAAACCAAAAGACCCCCCAAGGGCAGCAGGCAAGAACTGGCTTCCTCTCCTGAAGCAAATGAGAGAAAACCTCCCAGCCCTTCCCTGGCACTAGTGCCCACTACAGAGGTGAAGCACCTGACAGGTGCCGCCTGCAAGTCCTTGCTTGCAAGGTGGGATGGGTCCTTGCAGTCAAAGGTGATGATCTGATCCCAGAACTGGGATTTGGAGACTTTCAGAAGTGAGGGTCCTCATCTGTATTTCCGGGAGAGACGTTTATTTAGCCCACTAACCCGTTTAATTCCATTTTCTGAGTTTGTACCAGGCATAGGTGATCGTGATTGAGGTTAGCAGCCTGGCCCTGCAAAATTCTGGATGATAGGTAGCTGGCAGCCAAAGGTTGAGAGTTTGCAGGGCTGTTTTTGCCCTCCTGGAAATCTGGGCTTGCTTTTTAGTTTGCCAACACTTCCACTGAGTTTGCCCAGTGCATCTGACCAGCTTGCAGTTTACACTATTGTAATGTTTCTCAACACTGTGCTGACTGGGGAATTCTGGGAGCTGAAGTCCACCCATCTTAAAAGTTCCCAAGGTTGAGAAACACTGGCCTGTTGGATAAGCTGAGCATTCATTCATTCATCCATCCACCCATCCATCTGAATATGAATATAAATAAACCAAACCACAAATTTCTATTTTCTCTAAAACATTTCTTCGTTGGTTTCTGTACTTTGTGGAAATGAGAGGAACGAGCACCATTCTTAGTGGTTTGCACCCTCACTCAATTATACAGTAAATGATACTTATAGCAGTGAAGATCATATAAGCTTTCCAGAGAAATATTTCAAAAAGCTGTTAGAGAAGAAGAAGCAGTTAAAGTGCATATCAGATAATTAAAGAGGAATTGCAAAGATTTGTAAAAAGAACAAACGTAGCCAACTGTTCTCTGACCACAATTTATCACTGGAGTAGTAACTCAGAGAAATAATGTTTTAAACTATTATTGTTCCTTTACGAGGCTGATTGTTTACGTGCCCATCACTTGGAATGTGCTCTCTTTGCCCATGAGAATGGCTTACTAGGCCAAAGCTGGACTCTTCATGTTACCCAAGATGTAATCAGGTTTGTTTGGATTTTGTTTAATGCGAGAGCTCAGTCACTGTGATTTTAAAGTATGATTTATTGCAGGGATAGGAAACATTTTCAGGCATTGGAAACTTTTGCACAACAACTCTGCACAACAACACAGGGCCAACATTTAAACCTAAACAAAGCTAAACTCTCAGGGCAGATCTTGCAAGATATTAACATTCTCATCCCAAATCTCCGAAACATGGCAATTTTGCAAGACTTTGGACACTTTTATGTTGTTGTTTTTTAATTAATCTGTTCTGTGAATTGCCAATGAGGGAACTTTGTGCACATGGTTGAGAGATTGTTTATGTCTTCTTGTACAAACCCAAATATGGTTTATTCAGTAAACCAAACTTAACAAACACGTGGGTCCATTTATATTTAACCCAAAGTTTTTACGCGTTCAACCTCTGGTTAATAAATACAGGGTGATCCAGGAGATTTGTAAGTGTTCCTCACGCCCAGGAGAATGGCTTTTCACCTTGGAAGTCATGAATGGAGAAGACGAGATCTTCTCTACTCCAAGACAGGATTAGGAGGGGAAGGGAGCCCCCTCCTCGTCTCTTTTAAGTTACATAACTTAACTCTTACATAACTAGCAAGGCAGAGTTGCACATAATGTAACCATCTGCCTTTCAGAGTTGATCCTCCCTTCCTTGGGAAGACCTCAGTGGCTTCAAATTTTATTTTCATTTTGGATCTGGGCCTGTCTCGGTGAATGAGTTTCTCAGGTTCTTGTTTTTCAGAGAAATGTGTCACTCGTTGAATAGTCAATGAAGAAAATATTTACCGCAAAGTAAATATCTTCTTTTAAAATATATGAATGGAGGTCTGTTTCCATGAACTTGTTAGATAATGCCCCCTGGTTCCATACCATTTCTACCCCAAGAATCTGTTTGTGTTTTTAATGTTATTGGTTGTCAGAGGAGAGGAGGACTTAAAGGCCTCCCCCCATTTTGGAGACACCATCTTTCGGTGCTCCCCCTCATCTCCAGGGCTTGGCCATAGGAGCAATTTTTTTCAGACTCCCAAAGTTTTGGTGCCTCTTTTGCTTATTGCCCTTTCTGGGACATCAGTTTATCATTCCATCATGACTTAAAATAGAGGTAGAGATCTCTCTTTTTTGGGGGGCGGGTGTCCACTATTCCTAAAGGACTATTTAGGGAAGAAATTATGACTTGCATTATTAAAAAAGTAAAGGACTGCCTGCAGATTTTACTTGTTGCCAATGATAGGGGGATGGTACTCATCTCCGCTTTGATAAGACCATTGAGCCAGTGCTGCGGCCAGCATGACATCATGGAACGCTGTTAACTTCCCACTAAAGTGGTACCTATAGGATGCATAGGGTCTCTTGCTTGAGCAGGGAGGTTGGACTAGAAGACCTTCAGGGTTCTTTCCAACTCTTATTCTGCATTTTGTAGATAGGGCCTGTCTCTGGGACAGATTCTTCCAGCTTGTGCTGTAGTGAAAGCTTTGCTCCTTGTCCTAAAAATTTTGAGAGACTAATGCCCGCTGACCTACCTCCAGGGCACGACAGAACTGTCTTTGGTTGCTGTTGTATCAATTTGGACCTTCTAGAATAGGTGTCCCCAACCCCTGGGCCACGCCCCATTTGGAACCAGGCTACGCAAGCAGTGGGCGAGTGCGCAGGTATCCACAGCTCCGCTTGTGCGAGTGGCGGGCACTTGCGTGTGAAGCTCTATTGGTGTGAGTGGTGCGCATGGGTGCCTGTCGCTTGTGCAAATGCAATTGGCGCACGCTTGTGCTCGTGTCTGCCACTCATACAGAACCAGCCTCTCTCTCCCCCTACCAGTCCACCAAGCCAGAAAGGTTGGGGACCCTATTCTAGAAGACATGCAAGATCTCCCTGGCTTTTAGAAAAAAAGGCCAGCTTTTCCAAGGCCCGGGATGAAGAAAAAGCCATCCAGCCCTTTCTCAAAGCAGCATGTTCCACCCTCGAGAGGCCTCTGCTTCTATGGCAGCGTTGCCTAGCACAGGGTTTGGGGACAGCCGTGATGGCAGACGGGCACAATGGTGCTGGTTACCACACAGGCAGGCTGTTGAGGCAGGCAGAGATGGAACGATGCAGCTGGGACTCACTGAACGATGCTTAAACTTCTGCCATAGTCGGATACGACTATCATAATTATGCCTGACAACTTCAATGTGACATTTGCACCTCCGTTTAAAATTGGCCACACAGGGGGCGTCTCTCGGCTCTCGTCTTCCTGTTAAAAACGGCAACGGGGGAACAGCTGAACCTTCCAATATTCTGCACTTCGCAAAGTGGAACATTGTCTACTGAACAAGATGTGACAACA